GAGGGTGTGTGTGGGGGGAGCACCGGGGGCTCGGCCTGTCCCTCCTCTCCCTGACCTCCCGCCTCTCTCCCGACAGCGCCGCTGGGGACCCGCCGGCCCCTCCAGCATCCCCGGCGGTGGTTCCGCTCCGGCCGCCGGCACACGGGACCCGAGTGACCTTGAGAGCCGGGAACAAGGGCAGCCCCGCCGCATCCCGCCCGGGCTCGCCGAGGCCGAGGCAGCCCGGCCGCAAGTGCCTCCCCCCCCGCCTCTCATCCTCTCGTATTTATTTATTTATTAATTTTTTTTTTTTTTTTCGGGAGGCGAAATCCCTGGCTCGCTCCCTCCCGCCCCCGCCGCACGCTTCCTGCCCCCTCGCCTGCGCTGGCTGCGGGGAAAAGGGATCCAGCGAAACGATCCCCAGCGCCGCCCGAGGGACTCGCACACCGGAGCGTCCCCCAGCCCGGATCCCAGCGCTGTGTAAGGGCAGGGAGGGGCCGATCCGCGGGGAGGGAGAAGCACCCGGCGAGCCGGGGGCTGGGGGAGCCCCTGTGGGCAGGCAGGGGGTGTCAGGGCGGGCAGGGGGGCAGCAGGTCCCCAGCAGTCTTTTCCCTTTCCCGGGAACTCCTCTCCCCACCCACTCTGCCTCCTCTTGGGAGCTCTGGCTGTTCTTGCTTGTCGTTTGGGACACTTGGGTGGGTGATTTTCCAGCAGGAGCTGTTTCCCGCTACAAAAATTCCTCGAGGAGAGTGATGGTGTGAGCCACGAGAAGGTGTTTTCCACCTTGTGCCAGCGCTGGAAGCATCCCTGGGCTCCCAAATCCCTGATCCCCATCCCTGCCACATCGGGGAGCTGGGATGGAGCAAAGATGTGGAGAGGGGAGAGGAGGCAGCCATGTCTCCGCTGGGGCTGAGGATGCTCCTCGCAGTCCCCGGTGCCAGGGAACTCTCTGATCCGGGACTTGTCCCTGGCAGTGACTGCAGGAGGGAGAGAAAACTGGGACAGGACGATTCAGCGCTTCCAAGTGCTCTCCAGCTTCTGGCTCTTCTCATTTTTGGGGATTTCTGTGTGTTTGGTGACCTCAGGGGGGGGTTTCTCGGCCCCCTTGCCTCGAGCAGGGGGTGCCTCTCCCTGCCCCCCGTGCGGTGCCCTGTGGTGTCAGCCCCGGTGAGGGCTAAATCCGCTCACCCGGATTAAATGGTGCAACTGCTCAGGGATTTAAGGAATGACGTGGGGGAAGCTGGAGCGGGCTGAGCTCCGGAGAGGGAGGCTCCGGAGTGGGTCAGAGCCCCTTTTCCAGCGTGGGGGGAAGGGGGTGGAAGGCTCTGGTGCCTCCATGACACAAATTTGGAGTGGGTCAGAGCCCCTTTTCCAGCATGGGGGGAAGGGGGGGGGAAGGCTCTGGTGCCTCCATGACACAAATTTCGGCTTCAGGGCGGCGTGGCATCACCTGGCAGAGGGGGTTTGCGGTGCGGGGCTGTCTGTCTCGAAGGCAGGGGGTGTCCCAGGAATCAGGCAGGGAAAGAGCCTTTTGGCTTCAGGGCGATGTGGCATCACCTGGCAGAGGGTGTTCGCGGTGTCTGTCCCGAAGGCAGGGGGTGTCCCAGGAATCAGGCAGGGAAAGAGCCTTTTGGTGTGATGCCAAGGGATGTTATCTGGTGCTTCTTGTCGGTTGAGTCTCTTTGCCCATCCAGACACATCCTTTGACCTGAGCTCCTAAAACCAACCCACGGCCTCGGTGTGTCGGTGCTGTCCCCGCGATGCTTGGGCTGGGGGGGCTGTGTGGCCACCTCCTTTCCTTTGCAAAATGCTGGCTCCGGGGCTCTGAGAGCTGGTTCCCAGTGTGGTCCTAACCAGTGACTTGTGTCTGGGTTTTCCTGCAGCCTGTACGTGCTGTGTCTCGAGGGATTTATCCCAACTCCATCGCATGGGGACCCTGGAGGCCGCAGGGACATGGGGGCTCAGGCAGCTTCGACTCTCAGGCCATTTGGGCACAACTATTGGGGTGCAGCACCCCCATCCTGACTCTCCCCGACTCCATGAGGATTATTTAAACGAATTTCCCTTTGGAGAAACCCTTCGGAGGGGGAGCAGGGTGTGTATAGGGAAGCGTGGGGCGGCGAAAGAGCCCCTCTTTTCCTGTAGGAAGCACTTTGGGATGGCTTCTCTGCCCGGGCTCTGCCACGGCATCGTCCCTGCGGGCGCCGGGACGTGCTCCAGCTCCGTCCTCATCCTGCCCGCTGGCGCTCGCCCTGCCCGCTGCCGCCCGGCCTGTCCCCCACCTGCTCTGCCACCACCCCCTGCCCCTTGAGCCCAGCTCTTTTCCCGTGGATAATTTCCTCTCCGGAGGGCCGGTGGCTGCTTGCCGGCTGTGCCGCGCTGCCGGAGCACGTGTCATCCCATCCCTGCGTGGCTCTGAGCTGCCGGTGAGCCTGGGCCTGCACCCAGTGACCAGGGCCCCGGCGTCGCTGCCCCGGGCTGGCGCTGGGCTTTGGCTGCGGGTGCCGCCGCGATCTCCGGCTGCGGTTTGCTGAGGGCGGCGTCGTCACCTTTCTATCCCGCCCGGCGATAACCTTCCCTGCGCGGCGCTGGCAGCCTGTTTGCTTTACCTGTCGCGGCCGATAAGCGCCTCTGATAACACTCGTGATAGCAAATAACGGGCTGTAACCAGAGAGGAGCAATTAAAGGAGGGAGGTGGTGCCTTTGGCACGGCCTCTGCCCCTCGGAAGGTGGTGTTTTGCCCACCCTGGGGGAGCAGACCCTGGCCCTCGCTGGCCAAAATCTCTGTCCCCCCCGCCCCCCGGGGTTGAAAGGAGGGTGTAGAGAGGCAGGTGTTGCGCCCCCCAGGGTTGAAAGGAGGTTGTAGAGAGGCAGGTGTTGGCCTCTTCTCCCAAAGGACGAACGACAAGACCAGAGGAAATGGTCTGAAGTTGGGGCAGGGGAGATTTAGATTAGATATTAGAAAGAATTACTTTACTGAGAGGGTGGTCAGGCCCTGGAACAGCCTGCCCAGGGAGGTGGTGGAGTCACCATCCCTGGAGGGATTTAAGAAACGTATAGACATGGCTCTTCAGGGCATGCTCTAGTGCCCAAGGTTATTGGTTTATGGCGAGGTGTTGAGTGTGGGGTTTAGTTGGTGGGTGCAGTGTTTTTGGTGGGCGTTTTTTGTGGTGTGTTGTTGTTTTTTGTTTGTCTGTTTGTTTGTTTTTTCTGTGGTTGGACTCGATGCTCTCAGAGGTCCCTTCCAACCACTAAGATTCTGTGATTCTGTGAGTTTTGTAGACCTGTGATTTTTCTCATCCCAACCTCCATCTCCTGGGGAGGAGAGGCTCTGCTTTGGGGGGGGTGTTATCCGAGGCAGCGGGGAGGGAGCTGCTGCTCTTTGCCCACTCTGTTGCCAGCACTGGGGAGTTCCTGGCAAGAAATGCCCTTTTTATTTTCTCTCCGCGTGACTTGAGAAATGGCAGAAACATTCTCCCTGTCCTTGAGCGGCAGAGATACCGCGTCTCTGTGTGGAGGGGGGGTCAAGGGAGTGGATTTGCAGCTCTGAAAGGCATCCCTTTCCTCTCTCCCTTCCCCTCACGGGCTTCTCCTTGCAGCACCAAACTGATGCATGAAAAAGCAGCTCCCCTGAAGAGCCCCGAGCCCATGCACGGCCGTGAGAAACTGGAGGCATCCCACAAGGAGAAGAGTTTGGATTCCCTCGATGGCAGGTGAGGGGCTGCATCCCGGGGTCTATGGTTGAGTGTTTTCTCTTTTTTTTCCCCACTGTTGGGACATCCTGCAGCAACCCCTCTGCCTCCGAGCCCCTGGATGCAGCCCACCAGCTTGGGGTGGGCACAGGGGGGGTTTCGCCCTCAAATATGGGGTCAGGGAGGGGAGAGGGGTTTGGGGAAGGGGTCCGGTATTCCCACTGCTGAGGTTGTTGGGAGGATCTCATGCTGGTTTCTCCCTTCTCCTGCCCGTGGGATGGACGGGGATGGATGGCCCCGTGCTCAGCCAAAGCCGTGTCCGTCCTCCTGCCCCAGCACATTCCCAAATTCCCATTTGTGCTTTCCCTGGGGAAAACTTGACCCGGCTGAAGCTGCTCATTGCCACCTCCTACTCGATCCCAGGCAGCTCTGGGCTCCTTGCCCCGGTGCCAGGGAGGGTTTTGGGTGCAGGCCCCCCGGTGCTGCTGCCTCCCCGGGCTCAGCATCGCTGATGCGACAATAAATCACCAAGACATCCAAAACGTGGTTTCCCATGGTCTCTTTTCACTTTTCTGCATCTTGCTGTGTCTCTTCCTGCAGCACACGTGTTTTTTGGGAGCTGATGAGAGACCTGAGACTCTTCTCTTACCTAATTATTATAATTACTATTTTTCCTTCCAGCCTCCACCTGAATGAAGCCCTGAAGGATGAAGACATCAAGAAATGCCACCGGGAAGTGGTAAGTCCTTGGCTTCGTGAGCGAAAGGGCTGGTTTGTTGGAGCCTGACCCCAACTGTTGGCCATTGAGGGGCCCGTCCAGGGTCTCAAACGTGGGCTGTGGGCGGTGGAGCCGCGGTGGCTCCTGGTTCAAGGCAGAGGCTCCTGCCCGCAGTTTCAGGGGAGCTGATGGTGGTTTCATGTGGCCCCTGATCAGCCCTGCGAAGGCTTTCAGGATTTTCTATCCAGAGCAAAGGAAAAAGTGGAAGTCCTGACTTGCAGCAGCTCCGTTTCCATCGGTTTGAATCTCTTTTGTTGTTAAAATCCTGCCCTAAGCAGAGCTTTACTGTCTGTCTACAAACCAGAGCGGAGGGGGGAGGCGTTTTTCCTTTCTCCATGAAAAGAATGGAAGAGAAAAACATTTTGCCGCTTATTCAGAGGCAACTCGGGGAGTTGTGGGGTTGGTAATGGCTTTGTGTTGGGGCAAGGGGGTGTTTCTTGGTGGTGGCTTGGAGGTGATGGCACAGTGACCCCTCCGTGTCCCCCTGAGATGCTCCTGTGGCACCCCCCCCATCCCGGCGTCTCCCCGGGGGTGTCCGAGCCGCCCCCAGGTGCTGCAGAGCCTTGATCCTCTTAGGGCCCAGCTCATCCGGTGACAAGGTGCGTGTGGCAAAGGTGACCTTGTCACCGTGGGCAGGAGGGCTCTGCCTGCCGAGCCGCCTCCAGCCCAGCCTCGCTGCATCTCTCCGCGTCCTGGTTTCATCCCTTGGATTTCAGGGGACAGCCGTGTCCCCCGGGGAGCACCCCGAGCTCTGGGGGTGCTGCCTCCTCCGGCGCAGGGGACACACACAATTTAAAGTGGATTTAATGCCAAGCGTTGGACCGATTCTGAGCCTTTAACTTCTAGACAGAATTATTTCAGGGCGAAACCTGCCGCCGCGGCTGCCGGCGGGCTTTGAAGAGGCACCGGGAATATAAATAGCTGGATGGCGCGGCGCGATGGGCGCAAAGCAAGTCTTGTCACTCTGCCCCGAATAAGGGAAGAGCTCGAGGAGGAGGAGGAGGAGGAGGGAGAGAAACCATTGGGCAAAATAAACTGCCTGCGGATGAGCCCGGGGGAAAACAAGCTCCTGGCGGAGGCTCAGCCTCCTTAGATAAACCCCAGATATTAAGGGCAATGTTTATCTGGGAGGATGGCACAGCGTTTGCTGGGCGCTGGGTCGTCCAACCCTCCTCTAGCCCTTCGGCTCCGCCGTCCCCAGCCCGGTGGGACCCCCCTGCGTCGGTCACGGGTGCGGGGAGATTATTTATATTTGCAGGAGGGTGAGGGTTTTGGGTTGGTTGGTTTTTTTGGTTTTTTTTTTTGGGTCTCCTTATCAGCAAGGTCAGCAGATAACTCTGCTCTGCTTCGTTTTCAGGCCGCTAGCAAGTACAACTCCCAGTACCACAAGCTGTTCAAGGACATCCCGACGGAGGAGAGCGTGCTGAAAGGTTGGGGGCACGGCGAGGGACGGGCACGGGGGGGGCGGCGGGAGGCGGCACTCCCTCTGCCATACCCCCCTCTCTCTGCCCTGCAGTGTGCTCCTGCGCGCTCCAGAGGGACATCCTGATCCAGGGAAGGCTTTACATCTCCCCCAACTGGCTCTGCTTCTACGCAAACCTTTTTGGGAAGGACATCAAGGTAAGGTGGGGGGGGGGCCAGGTCACCCCGGTCCCCGTAGGGCTCATAGACCAGGCTACACCACAGCCCACTTACTGCCCCCCCGCCTCCTGCACCCAAAATCCCTGTCAAAATCCTCTGATAGGAAGGGGACTGTGGTTGTTCCTCCCCCTCCATCACCTACCGCATCTTCCCTGGGGAAACCAAATATTGGTTTGGTTTATAGGGCTCATAGACCAGGCTACACCACAGCCCACTTACTGCCCCCCCGCCTCCTGCACCCAAAATCCCTGTCAAAATCCTCCGATAGGAAGGGGAGCGTGGCTGTGCCTCCCCCTCCATCACCTACTGCATCTGCCCTGGGGAAACCAAATATTGGTTTGGTTTAAAATTCCCCGATGGAAAACCTCCTCCAAGCCGCAACGGCGTTTGAAGGAAGATCAGAGTTTTTTTAGGGGGGAGGAGCAGGGGGGCCAAGATTTGAATCTCTCTTGGCTTTTCTTCTTGATTTCCAATCTGACGTTTCCCTGTTAGTCTTGTGGCTGACAGGGATCTTGGGGAGGGACGACTTTCCTTTAAAACTGGGCTGAAGAACTGAATTATTTATATCAGCCGCTTTAAACAAATACCTGGCAGAAGCACGGGGTTTCAACCAAAGTATTCTGCTGTAAATTGTGTCCTGCTTTATTTTTAACCCTCCCTGGGCTTCCAGGGGGGACTCTTTGTCATGGGTCTTAGGGAGACTCACTGGATGATGCTTTCCCTGTTTCCTCACTGTTTTGATTGAGTAGAAACCCCCCCGGGAGCTGAGATTAACGCTGGGGGGATGCTGTGACCTTTAATAACGATTAATCTCTCTTTGGGAAATGCCAAATCCCCGCGTCGCTGCTCTGCTTGGGGCGTAATTACGATGCGTATTAAACATCTCACCTTGGGAAGGGAACTCCCCGAGCTTGTGGTGTTCCCCTCCCTGCCCATCCCCATGTCCTTTTGCCCCCCAGGTTGTCATCCCGGTGGTCTCCGTTCAGCTGATCAAAAAGCACAAGACGGCTCGGCTGCTGCCCAACGGCTTGGCCATCACCACCACCGCCAGCAGGAAGGTAACGCCGGGGCCGGGGGATGCCCTGGTGCCATCCAGCTGCCGTTTGAGAGATGGGAAGCAAAGCCATTCCCATCCCTGGCTGCCAAAAACCCCCAAAATCACGGGCCGGTGGAGAAACCAGCGTGTCTCTCTGTGCTGTGCTGCAGGCCAGGGCGAACGGCGCCGCTTTGCTTTTGTTTTCTGAATTTCACTTTGTTTCTGGGCAGAGCGAAATTCAGCCGAGCCTGACAAATCCCTCCCAGGCTCCCATCAAACCTTTAAACTCCTTTAAACGCAAGCAGGGGAAGGGTTTGGGCCGGCGTTCAACCCCGGGCTGGTGGAAAGCCTGGCGAAGGGGATGAATTTCCAGCTTTTGGTGGAAAATGACATTGGAAATGGCCCATGACACTGGGTGTTGTCGGCTGCGGTGAGCTGACGCCGTCCTGCCCCACGCCTCCCCAGCCAGGGAGGGGGTTATACAGGACAAGGGGAGATGGTTTGAAATTGGAAGAAAAAAGATTCAGATTAGATCTCAGGAAGAAATGTTTTACTCTGAGGGTGGTGAGACACTGGAACAGGTTGCCCAGGGAAGTTGTGGCTGCCCCATCCCTGGAGGGGTTCAAGGCCAGGCTGGATGGGGCTTGGAGCAACCTGGGCTGGTGGGAGGTGTCCCTGCCCAGGGCAGGGGGGTTGGAACTCGATGATCTTTGAGGTCCCTTCCAACCCAAACCATTCTATGATTCCTCTGGGATTTTGGGCAGAGGTTATTCCCGTGGGATTTTAGCAGGGGGTGGGATTTTGGGCGGAGGTTATTCCCGTGGGATTTTAGCAGGGGTGGCACGAGGCAGGATTTGGGCGTTCAAAGTGATTTGGGTGCGAGGCCGCTCCGCGTGGGGCGAGGTGGGCACTGCCCCCCCTGCCCCTTCTGCCCACCCCCGGGGACGTTCTCTGCCGGCCCCGGCCTCATTTGCTGCCGGATCCCTCGGGAGGCCCCGCGGGGACAGCAGCCCAGTGAAACTGGCCCCAAAAAAAATCAGGTCCGGGTTTTAGCAGGCTGCAAAAATAACAGCAGGGAAACTCTGCGGGGAGATGCCTGCGCTGGGGGGGGACACACGCAGCTGCCGAAGGAGGGGAGACTCAAGGGCAGGACGTCTCACCTTGAGTGCTGTGTCCAGTTTTGGGCTCCCTACCATAAAAAAGACATTGAGGTGCTGGAGCGGGTCCAGAGAAGGGCGACAAAGATGGTGAGGGGTCTGGAGAATAAGTCTTATGAGGAGAGGCTGAGGGAGCTGGGGGTGTTCAGCCTGGAGAAGAGGAGGCTGAGGGGAGACCTTCTTGCTCTCTACAACTCCCTGAAAGGAGGGTGTAGAGAGATGGGGGTCGGTCTCTTCTCTCAAGTCACAGGCGACAGGACGAGAGGAAATGGCCTCAAGTTACACCAGGGGAGGTTCAGGCTGGATATTAGGAAAAATTTTTTCACTGAAAGGTTTATCAGGCATTGAAATGGGCTGCCCAGGGAGGTGGTTGAGGCCCCATCCCTGGAGGTGTTCAAAAGCCGGGTTGATGTAGTGCTGGGAGGTCTGGTTTAGTGATGATGCTCCTTGTTTGTTGTGTGGGTGTCTATTTTTGTCAGTCAGGTTGACGGTTGGACAAGATGATCTTTAAGGTCCCTTCCAACCTAGAAGATTCTGTGATTCTGTGATTCTGTCTCTGCCCATCCCCTGCCTGTGGGGAACCGGATGTGGGATGGGGGCGAATCTGTCCCGGCAGCTCCTCTCTCTGTCTTGCAGTACATCTTCGTGTCCCTCATCTCCCGCGACAGTGTCTACGACGTCCTGAGGAGAGTCTGCACACACCTCCAGGTACCCTCTGCCCCCATCTGACAGCGTTTCAATAGCCACGGGCTCCCTTTGGGCTGCATCTGGGGGAGCAAAAGCTCTTTGCCCTCGGCATGAAGGCTTTGGATTGCTCCCAAAACGCTCCCTGCTGCCTCTTCTCGGCGTCCTTGCTCTGCAGGAGGGGACGGGAAGAGGGGCCCCAGCCTGCTGAGAACGGCAGCACTTCATGACACTGCTCTGCCCGATGCGGGGGGCCACCCTGCTGTCCCCTTTTCAAGTGACAGTGGCTGTTTCTTGACACTCTCCTGAGCGTCCTGGCAGGGCAGAGCCTGTCCCCGGGTGTCGCGTGGGTGTCCTGTCCCCGTCAGCCACCGGTGGCATTTTCTGGGTCACGGATGAGGGAGGCAGAGCCCGGAGTTTCTGCTCTCTCCCAGGGTGTGTGTAGGAATTAGTTATAATTTGGTAGTTATACTAGTTCTGCCACTCCGCACGCGCGCTGCCTTTCCCCCGCATCTAAAGTTTGAAGGGGAGGAAAAATGGTACAAATCACGAGAAAAAATGGAATTAAAAAGCCTGAGGGGGGAAGAAATCCATCAGCCCTGGGGCCGGAGAGGAGGGTTGCGGGGACCTTCTCCTGCCTTTGAAGCACGTGGAGAGCGGTGCCAGAGCCCTTCCCTGCCCCAGGGTGTGTTCCAGCTCTGCCAGGGTGGCAGTTTGGGTGACTCACCCCTGTTGCCAAACTGGGCAAATTATTCTTTGAAATGTGCTGGGCTCTGCCCAGGTATTCCCTGTTGTTTTTTTTTTTCCCCACCCGATGGTTCATCCCCTCTGCCAGGAGCCCTTGGCTCAGCCCTGGTCCCGCAGGGTTTCCAGCAGCGATGGGGTGACCCGTCCTCTGCCAGATGCTTTTCTTTGGCCACAAAATCCCCACGCTTGGACATTTTAGGCAGCTGCTCTTCACAGATTCACCAGAAACATCGAAATTCAATTTTCTGGCTCAGGTTGAAGCAGGGAAGGGTGGCACCATAACGCTGAGAGAGTTGGGCGGGATCAACCTGGAGAAGAGAAGGCTCCGGGGAGACCTTAGAGCCCCTTCCAGTCCCTCAAGGGGCTCCAGGAGAGATGGGGAGGGACTCTGGATCAGGGAGGGGAGCCACAGGAGGAGGGGGAAGGGTTTGACATGGAAAGAGGGGAGATGGAGCTGAGATGTGGGGAAGAACTTGTTTGGTGTGAGGGTGGTGACACCCTGGCCCAGGTTGGCCAGAGAAGCTGTGGCTGCCCCATCCCTGGAGGGGTTCAAGGCCAGGTTGGAGGGGGCTTGGAGCAACCTGGTCTGGTGGGAGGTGTCCCTGCCCAGGGCAGGGGGTGGCACTGGGTGGTCTTCAAGGTCCCTTCCAACCCAACCCATTCCGTGATTCTCTAACGCCCATTTCTTTCTCCCCTCCAGGTTTCCAGTAAGAAGAGCTTGAGTTTGAAGGAGCTGACGGAGGAGCCCGATGCCGTGTCTCTGGTGAGGGTCAGGGCAGCTCTGGGGGAGGGAAGGTCCCCCACAAACTCCTCCTGTGGGCAGGAGAGCGGCCGCCCAGCCACCGGGGTGGGTTTAGGGCGCTCCCGGGACGCTGAGGGTCACCCGGCAGCCGCTCGCAGGGTGTGGGGTCGCTCCTCTCCCCTCGCTGCCGAGAAAGGTCTCCGGAGCTCCTCCTCTGGGATCCTCACACCCTGACTTGGCAGAAACAGACGGGTCAAGAGGACAATTTTGACGGCCCACAGCTGAGCGTGACCCAGCCAGTTGGTCTCTAGGGTCCATTTACAGATGGAAAAATTTTGGAGGGATGTGGAGAACGCTGCCACTCCGCTCCCGCCGGCTGATGCTGTGGATAACAGCCCCCAGCGGAGGGCCACGAGGATGATCAGAGGGATGGAGCACCTCTCCTATGAAGACAGGCTGAGAGAGCTGGGGTTGTTCAGCCTGGAGAAGAGAAGGCTCCGGGGAGACCTTATAACAGCCTATCAATACCTGAAAGGAGCCTACAGAAGAGCTGAAGAGGGACTCTTTACAAAGAAGAGTAGCGACAGGACAAGGGGCAATGGTTTTAAGCTGGTGGAGGGGAGATTTAGGTTAGATACTAGGAAGAAATTCTTTACAGTGAGGGTGGTGAGGCACTGGAACAGGTTGCCCAGGGAAGTTGTGGCTGCCCCATCCCTGGAAGTGTTCAAGGCCAGGCTGGATGGCTATTTGAGCAACCTGCTCTAGTGGGAGGTGTCCCTGCCCATGGCAGGGGGGTTGGAACTAGATGATCTTTAAGGTCCCTTCCAACCCAAACCATTCTATGATTCTATGATAACGGGCTGGAAACGTGGCTGAATTATCCAAAGCCATATGGGATGGCTGGGAGGCCAGAGAGGGAGAAGGCTGCCGAGCCGTGGTGTCACCAAGGGGCTGCTGCCCTGGGAGCACGACGGGGCTCGGCTCTGCCCACAGTGGCTGCCAACCCAGCCAGCAGTGTCTCCTCTCCATGAAGCTTGGGTGGCCCCTCCTTGTCTCTGCTTGGTGACAAAGCCGTTGGGGCTGTGGCCGTGCCGTGCGTGGGGACGCTGAGGGTGTCCTCCATGAGCTGGTGGCCCTGTGCATCAGGTTGGGTGCAGGAGGTGACAATCAGGGTGGCCCTTGGGGGCCACTGACCCCCCATGTGGGACCAGGGAGTGACAAATGGGATGTCCCCTGTGGGCTGGTGGCATCCCACAGGTTGAAGGTGCGTTTCAAAGGGTGAATCGGGTGCGGTCCAAGCTGGCAGCATCTCCTGGTGCTTCTGAGGGACCTTCCCTTCAGCAGCTCCAGCTCTGGGAACTCTCTGGTGAGGGGACCCCACTCTGTGCTGGCTGCCACCCCTCCGTGTGCCTTTCCAGACCGGGATGCTGAGCTTGGAGGGCTCTTGGAGGGCGATGGGTGACAGCTCTGAGCTTCAAACCAAGGGGTGTCGGAGGCAGCCGTCAGTATTTGGGCAGGCATGGGGACCAAGGGCAGGTCCCTCCTACGGCAGTAGGAACCTGTGTCCCCACAGGCCCATCATGGAGGACCAGCTCCCCCTTAGGATGGTGTTTTCATAGAATCATAGAATTGCCCAGGCCAGAAGGGACCTCCAAAGGCCATCTAGTCCCACCCCCCCGCAGTCAGCAGGGACACCCCCAACTAGACCAGGTCGCCCAGGGCCTCGTCGAGCCTCTCCTTGAATATCTCCAGGGAAGGGGCCTCAACCACCTCCCTGGGCAACCTGTCCCAGTGCTCCACCACCCTCACAGTGAAGAACCCTCTCCTCATCTCCAATCTAAATCTGTTCCCCTCCAGCTTGAAGCCATTGCCCCTCGTCCTGTCACTGCAGGCCTTTCTAAACAGGCTCTCCCCAGCCTTCCTGTAGGCTCCCTTCAGGTACTGGAAGGCTGCTATTAGGTCTCCCCGGAGCCTCCTCTTCTCCAGGCTGAACAACCCCAGCTCCCTCAGCCTGTCCTCGGAGCAGAGGTGCTCCATCCCCCTGATCATTTTAGTGGCCCTCCTCTGGACCCTCTCCATCAGGTCCATATCCTTCTTATATTGAGGGCTCCAGACCTGCACACAATACTCCAGGTGAGGTCTCACCAGAGCAGAGTCAAGTGGCAGAATCCCCTCTCTGGACCTGCTGGCAACGCATCTTTTGATGCAGCCCAGGATGGGATTGGCCTTCTGGGCTGCAGCTGCACACTGCCTGCTCATGTCCAGCTTCTCCTCCACCAGCACCCCCAAGTCCCTTTCCTCAGGGCTGCTTTCCAATCCCTCACCCCCCAGTTTGTATTGGTGGCGAGGATTGTTCTGGCCCAGGTGCAGAACCTTGCATTTGCTCTTGTTGAACCTCATGAGGTTCACCTGGGCCCACCTCTCCACCCTGTTTTGAATGTGCTGGTTCTCGATGGAGGTGCCACAAGGTTCCAGTACGAATCTGGCCCCACCGTGTCCTTGTCACTGCTGGTTTTGTGGGAGGGACGGTGGCACGGCTCACCCGGGGCTGTTCCTGCAGGAGGTGATCGTCCCCGAGGGCAAGTGGAGGAAAGTGTCACCCACTTCTTTGTCACTGTCACTGCCGGACGCCGACTACCAGTGCATCCACCGGACCTCCGTCAGCAGCCTGAGCACCAAGGAGAGCTTCACCTCCGAGGAGCCCCTGGTTTCAGGTGGGAGCTGCGTCTGACCCAGGGACGTGGGTTTGTGTTGGGTGTAAAACCTCCATAAATACGTGTTCATCTGTCTTCCCCCCTCGTGGAAGGGATTTCTGCCTTGCGGGCAAGCAGGGTTGAGGCTGGGAGTAGGTGATGGTCTCCTGAGGATGGGATGAGGTCTCCGGAATGAGGGATCTGAGCACTTGGTGTGCAGCTGGAACATCGTGCTGGCAGCATTAGCCTGTGGTGGGGGGGGGAAATATTTGATGTTCCTGGTTGCCCAGAGGAGTGTGAGCATCTGCCCAGCGTGGCTGGGCCACTGACTCTTGGCTTGCATTTCAGAAAGTGCAATAAACACCGAGGAGGAGCTGGAGGTGGAGCAGAGCTGCGTGGCGGAGCTGAGACCCTCCGACTACCAGCTCCTGAAGATCTTCATCGTGCTGTAAGTGCTTCAGGGGCAGCTGTGGTGTGGGGAGGATGGGGGCTACACCAGGAAGGTCCATCTCCACCCCCAGCTGCTGAGTGCTTGTCCTTGTTCCTCTGCTCCCAGCATCTGCCTCCTGGTCGTGTCCTCCTCGTACCTGGCATTCCGCATCTTCCGTCTGGAGCAGCAGCTCTGCTCTCTGAACCGGGACTACCTCTCCCGCGGGCACAGGAGGTGAGGGACTCCTGGGGACACTCTGGGGCAGGTGGGTCACACTGCCCGCCGTGGGGGACCCGAGGGGGTGTGGTTGAAAGAGCAACGGCTCCCCTCCGTGACGTGTCCCAGGGATGCTTTGTCCCTTATCCTGTCCCTGCTGCTGGGATGACCCAAAAAGCATCATCCCCGGGCAGTAGATGAGTGACTGGGGAAATCTCTGCTGTCCCTCAGACTGTCAGCCCTTGGGACAAGGTTCCCTTGTGGGTTTGGGGCTGGTTCCCTGGTTGGAGTAAGCTCCAGGGCATCTCTGACAGGCTGAGGGAGCTGGGGTTGTTCAGCCTGGAGAAGAGGAGGCTCCAGGGAGACCTAATAGCAGCCTTCCAGTACCTGAAGGGAGCCTACAGGAAGGCTGGGGAGAGCCTGTTTAGAAAGGCCTGCAGTGACAGGACGAGGGGCAATGGCTTCAAGCTGGAGGGGAACAGATTTAGACTGGAGATGAGGAGAGGGTTCTTCACTGTGAGGGTGGTGGAGCACTGGAACAGGTTGCCCAGGGAGGTGGTTGAGGCCCCATCCCTGGAGATATTCAAGGAGAGGCTCAATGAGGCCCTGGGCAACCTGGTCTAGTTGGGGGTGTCCCTGCTGACTGCGGGGGGGTCGGACTAGATGGCCTTTGGAGGTCCCTTCCGGCCTGGGCAATTCTATGATTCTATGATCTCGGAGGAGCTGGGCTGTGCCCTGGGGCTAAAGCGACCGCGGGCATCAGCAAAGGGTGGAGGGGAGTGGGTTCCTTGGGTTGGGGACATCGGGGGTGTCCCCCTCCTCATGCCCATGGGCTCTGGGCTGGGGGACGGTGTCTCCGCGGGCGCTTGGAGGAGCTGGGCTGTGCCCTGGGGCTAAAGCGACCGCGGGCATCAGCAAAGGATAGAGGGGAGTGGGTTCGCTTGGGCTGGGGACATCGGGGGTGTCCCCCTCCTCATGCCCATGGGGTGTGGGCTGGGGGACGGTGTCTCCGCGGGCGCTTACCCCGCTCTCTGCGTGCAGGTGACCGTGACCCCAGCGCTGGCTGAGGATGGACACCGAGACCCTGCCACCCTCCCTGCAGATCCCGGCGCCGTGTCCTCCCCGCCGTGGCCCTTGCGCGTGGCCTGGCTTTCCCTCGGCCGATAAAATGGGACCAAGCATCTTCTCTCCTCCTACCGGCACCCGCTCCCGGCGGGACCGCCCGCCCGGCCCACGGCCACCGGTGCCAACTCCTCATCCCACTGGAACCCTGTTTTCTCTCCGGGACACTGCTGCCCCGTAACACCGGACGATGGCTCGGGGCTGCCGAGCGCTTGGATCTCCCTGTAGGACTTGCTGCTAAAATGGGCACCGTTTTTTTTTATTTGGGACTTGGGTTTTTCTTGTTAAAAGATGACCTAAGGCTCACGGGGAATCCCCAGAAAATGTGGATGAGTTGCTGCTGCTGCTCTGGGTGAAGCCCGGGCAGCAGCTCTGGGCTGAACCTGCCTGTTGGTCCCCCTCTCGGTACCCAGAGATGGGGAGAGAGGGGCCACCAGCCCTGTGGGGCATCATCTATCCCTACACCCACGGGTAGGGGTGCAAACCGGGGTCCCCCCAGCCCCATTGGGCTCCTTATGGGCCCCCCAGCCCTTCTCTCCTGGACATCTCGGGGTGCCTGTGTCTGCGTGTCTCCCTGCAAAGCACTTTAGGGTCCCCTGGACCAGGCGTCCTCACTGGGGACCGCACCTGGGAACGGTGCCGGACCAGGGCTTCGTTAGCCCCGCTCGCCTCGTTAAGACATCCCGAAAGGATCCGTGGCTGGCACGGGAGAGTGTCCCGGATTGCCTCGTGTCCGTGTTACCCTCCCACCACACGGAGCCCAGCGCCGCAGGATTCATCCCGCAGCCTCCTCCGGGACCGCGCCGGGACGGCAGGTGACACCCCTGCGACTTATTTTGGGTTTTCTTTCCAATTTTTTTTTGGGAACTACAAGTGCTGATGGGGCCAAATCCCCAAGCCCTGGGGAAGAGCTCGCCGCTCGCTCCGGGCTTGGAATGGCTTTTAAATGAAAATAAAAACCAGGATTTTTCTAGTACGTCCCTGTCTGCTGCCGGCGTCCCTGCGGCCGTGCCAGGCTGGGGTACCCCGGAGTCTGGCTGTGTCCCCAGGACGTGGATTACGTGGGGGGGGGACAGCAGGGGAACCAGGGGGGGTTTTGGGGGTCACCCAGGGCTTGGGATGCTCCCGGCGTGGGGAGGTTTCCTCACTAGATGGCAGCAGAGGCTGCGGGATGTGACACCCGAGCTGGTGGCAGGGCCACCCTGGGGACAGGGCGCTGAGGTGCAGCCTTCCTCCACCTCCTCCTCCTCCCTCAGCATCGGCCCCACAGATCCCCCCACCACCACGCAGCAAAACGCGTGAAAACAGCCCAATTTGAAGGCCACAGAGGGGATGGTGTTGGCCAAACGGGGACGAGCGTGGTGTCACCCCCACAACGGTGTCCCCGCCATTGCTGGATTTAACCATGTCACCCAGCTTTTTTTTGGGGGGGGGGGGGGTGTAATATATCAGTCATTCTGCTACAATTACACAGTTTGAAAACTGCACTAACTCCACGCTGTTGTTAACACACACACACATAGAAAACTACCTTTATTTCACAAAAGTCGAGGCTCAGCCCTGTTTCCCCCCAAAGGATGGGAGCTGCCCCTTCAAAGCCCCGGTGTTTACGGGGCGGTGGGAGCCTCTGATTCCTTGGTGACCCTGCAGATGAAAGGGGCCGTCCCGCTGCCACCCCGTCCCCACCGGGGCCTGGCCCGGCTCGTTTTGCTGGTGCAGCTGCTGAAATGGGTTCAGAGGGTTTGGGGTTGGTTTTTTTTAAAAAACAAGTTGGTGTTAAACAGGTTCAACCTCAGGCTTCGGGGGTTTATGGTCCTAAAAATGAAGTTTAGAGGTTTAGGATTGGGTGTTTTTTTTCTGGGTGCTCCACAGAACCCAATTCAAAGCAGGTCCCTTGTCCCCGTGCTGAGCCCGGGTCAGGTGCATGACAGTGATGATGGCCACCTCAGCTCCTCTTGGGACTCTTTGGTTGAAGCCAGCAGTGGGATGGCCCGTGGGGTCCGGAGGAGCCCTGGGACAAGCCCCCCATGTGGTTTTTGGGAGGGTCCCTACGGCCAGGAGCCGGTTACAAGGCTCTGGTTTTGTTTTCCAGCCGGTGTTTACCTCCCTGGTGGGTGCGTGTTTGCTCTCCCGGTGACGCCCTGCTTGAGCTTATTTGCTTTTCTTTGTGTAAAGAAATGCCACGTAAAAGCCTCAGGTGCAGGAAACATCCCCCGGGTGCTCACCTCCCTCGCTGGCTCGGGCAGCCCTGTCCCATCCCTCCAGTCCCCTGCTGCTTCCCCACCATCCCACCTCCCCTCTGCCCACGCTCCTCCCCAGCCCAGACCCACCCCTAAAAAACAGGATTAGGAGATTAAATCAGCCCATCTGGCCTCCCCGCAGTGGCACAAGGCGCTCAAGGGGCTGTCCCCAGGCTCACTGCCTCTCCAAGACCCATTTCTGCTCCGTCCCACCCACTGCAGGGTACAGAGAGCCAAGGTTCTGCTCATGACCCTTGTGGCCTTGACGAGCGGGACCCACCGCTCGTTAGCGGGTACCCACACAGGAGATGGATGATGCTGCGGTGACGCCCTGCTTGAGCTTATTTGCTTTTCTTTGTGTAAAGAAATGCCACGTAAAAGCCTCAGGTGCAGGAAACATCCCCCGGGTGCTCACCTCCCTCGCTGGCTCGGGCAGCCCTGTCCCATCCCTCCAGTCCCCTGCTGCTTCCCCACCATCCCACCTCCCCTCTGCCCACGCTCCTCCCCAGCCCAGACCCACCCCTAAAAAACAGGATTAGGAGATTAAATCAGCCCATCTGGCCTCCCCGCAGTGGCACAAGGCGCTCAAGGGGCTGTCCCCAGGCTCACTGCCTCTCCAAGACCCATTTCTGCTCCGTCCCACCCACTGCAGGGTACAGAGAGCCAAGGTTCTGCTCATGACCCTTGTGGCCTTGACGAGCGGGACCCACCGGGCCCATCTGGCCTCCCCAGTTGTCCCCAGGCTCACTGCCTCTCCAAGACCCATTTCTGCTCCGTCCCACCCACCCCAGGGTGCAGGGAGCTGAGGCTCTGCTGGTGAGTCACAACCCTCGTGGCCTTGACGAGCAGGACCCACCGCTCATTAACGGGTACCCACACAGGAGATGGATGATGCTGACAAGAGCAGGGTCTGGTTGAGTTTTATTCGGGGCTGGGGAGAAAGGCAGCTCCCCCGGCGGCAGTGACGTTGCTCTGGTGAAGCCCCACGCGAATGAATCCCCTTCAGCAAGCGGTTCCAAGGCGTTTTGGCTCCATCCAAGCGGTGGAAAGGGTTTTTTTTGGGGGGGGGTTGGTGCTCAGGGGGATGCTCTGGCCCCATGGCTGCATCTGGGCAACCTGGGAAGGACCCCGATCCTCGTTTTGCCCCTTCACTGTCTGTGGGTGTTTTGGGAGAGCCTGGGCTGGGGCTACTTACCTTCAGCAACGAGGGAAGTTTCAGACCTTCCTACAGTTCAAGACCTTCCTACACCACCCGGCTGTTCATCACCCCCGGTGCTGTGCTGGTGAACGTACTGGTGGGACTGGGGTGGCAAGGGGATGGGTGAAGAGCTCTGGGTTCAAAAAAATCCTCCCTCCCCCTTCGCCGAGGGCTGTATTTAACCTGGATTTCCCTGCTCCCCGGGGTGGGGTTGCTCTGCCAGACGCCGCCCGAGCAGCCTGCGCTTCGCCACTCACCAGCTCAGAGATTATCCTGCCACTGCCTCTCGTTTTAATTTTTATTCTCCCTGCTGCTAAGCCTGTCTTCTCACCAGAGGATCCGCTCCGAGATCCCAGCCATTGCCCTGCCTTTCCATTAGGAGCGTATCAAGGAATTCTCAGGCTTCAAGGAGACCGCGCTTATCTTTGGCTTCTCTACCTCAAACTCTCTCCTTTTGTTCTCCCTGGTGTGTTTTTTTTTATCTCGAGTAACAAAACTGGTTTTGTGCTAGAGGAAGCAGCGACGGCCTCGTAGGCTCTGAGCGCAGCGAACGCTAACGAGGGCTCGGGGAGCGCTGACGAACCCTCCCCGAATGGAGACGACCTAAAATCATATGGAAAAAAAAAACCAAACCAAACCACCTTCAAAGAGTGAGTGTCACTTTTCATCTCAATTAAGTTTCCTTTCCTAGGACTGGGTTCCTCGGCTTCCTATTAATCTTACAGCAGTTGAGAGCCGGGTTTTAATTTGTAATAAGAGCAAGCGGGGGGGAGGGGGGCAAAAAAAAAAGCTATCACCCTTCAGCCTAGGAGCACCTATCTGAATAAAACTGATTTTCTTTTTGCCCCATTCTTTAATTAATTGTAGCATTTCCTTTGGAGTCTCATCTTTTGACATCAACACCTGAGCATCACGTTTTTCAGGGGTAAAAAAAATAAATCCTTGCTGCTAAATCCCAGGCTGCTCAAACGCTGCTGGCGGGAGGCAAAAATTAGAAATAGCCACGATAAAAGCGTTTGGGGGCTCAGTTTTAAAGGGCATTTGCTAAACCTGGCTTGGAACAGCAATAGCTGTGGCCAATTAAAGCCACCTAAGGAGGGCGTGTTGCCTGCTGGGCAAAGGTGGAGAAGTCTCTTTAGCAGCCCATTTTGCCACAGCAATTAGTGTAAAAATTCACCGCAGAGAGGAGGATTTCTTTGAAAGCAAAGTGACTTTTCTCATTAGGAGTTCAAAGGCCAGTGACTTCCAGAAGGGACTAAGGCTTTTCCAAGGAGGGAGCAGGAGGTTTGGGGTGTGTGGGGGGGGTGTAGCCATGCTTGGAGGGGTTACATTCTTCTTCTTTGGGACAATCCTGCGCATGGGCATCTCCCTCAGGCACTGGGGGTGCTGCCTCGCGGGCGGGGAAGGCAGTGTTTTTTGGGGGGGGGGAGCTGCACCTCCATCACTTCTGTGCCAGTTTCGTGATGAGGGCTTTCCACTCCGCTCTCTTCTGGGTGATGTAGGAAGGGGTGAGGAGCTGCAGCAAAGGCTCCGGCCGGTCCCTGAAGTATCCCTGACACAGAGCCTCGGCGTTGCAGATCACGTACATCCCGCAGTCGTAGCTGTTCTGCTGGGCTGGAGCCTTCTCCTCCACGAAGGTTGCTTTGCCCCCTCTCTTGCCCAAGAAGGCCTCCAGCTTCCCTGCCACTTGCTTGGCGTGGACGGAGTTGCATTTACTGTGGGAATCGTAATGGGAGAAGCACTTTCTGTCCCTGAAATAAACCAGTAAGCTCCAGTGGGTGCCCCCAGCCACCTGGTTGGAGTTATCGTTGATAGGCAGGAACACCAGCTTCTTCTGGAGAAGGTCCAGCGGCTGAAGGAATATGGCTATTTCTTCCTGACTAAGGGCACACTTAATGAACTGAGCCACCTCGGGGCTGATAAAACAAACCTGATCGCTAAACTCTTGGAACTGGTGGTTGGCAAAGTACTCGAAGGCAAACCCGATGATGTGATCGTTAAGCCAGTTTGGGGGCTCCAGCAAGGCAACGTCCGACCTCCTGAGCAAACTGTCCATGTAACTGAGAACAACAGGGTCCATCCTGCGCAGGTGGGGGCTGCAGCACTCCAGGAGACTTCAAAAGCTGCAACAGAGAAAGGGAAGATGGAATTAAAGAATTAGATCACACCTGGGACAAGACACAGTGCAACAAACACCCCGAGTTCCTGCTCAGGAAGCAGTGAGTAAAAGCCCAGGTTTCTCAGATGGGTGTTTGAAGGACCGGGGTTTGAAGCATCTGGCAGACGAGCAGACAGAGGACACGCAGCTCCTCATCTGCAGAGTGTGAGGGGATGAGCTGGGCTCCTCTGCTGCTCTAGGAGCAGTGTGTGGCTCCCATTAGATAAACGTTTCATCGTTATGATCTTAACCTCAAAGCAAAGCGATTTCAAAGCAGCTCCTGCTCGGGAACTGCAGGCACGCCTCGGGTTCTGCGCCTCGCAGAGAAACCCTACGTGACCTGGGAGAAGTCGGTTGCTGTTTCGGCGTTTCAATATTGACCTGCGCAGTGATGGCCACTGGAACCCTCTGCAGCACTGGCAACCTTAAATAAAAGTGTTTTCGGGGCCGTGTGCCAGGCAAACGGTCCCTTTCCCCTAGCAGAGGGTGCCACAGCTCGGTGCCAGACGCATGACCTGTTCTGGGAAAACCTGCTGGCCCACCAGCGCGGGAGGCGAGGCGGCCATGAGGAAGGAGAGACAAAGCAAACCAGGATCACAAACAAACCAGTTCCCTGCCGTGGGAACCTCTAGGACAACTCTACCTCACCCCAAGAGATTTCAAGAACTCGAGTAGCACCAAAGCTGGATGGTCCATAAAATATCGGTTTTTAGGTCAGGTTTTAACTGGCCAAAATTTGGCTCCCAAAAGGAGAACGCACTCATGGGTACGCTGAGGGGTGAAGATCCTTCCAGGCTTCCACTGGTTAAAGTCACCCTGACCCACTCTTTCCAATCTCTTGCTCTTCTTCCCTCTTAATCTGTGCCTTCTTTCCACAAATAGAGGCTGCTTATCCTTAAAAAGGCACCTGGAAATTCAAGCAGACGGTAGCACCGGGTTCTCCCCACCCACGTGGTGGAGGACGTACTCGAGGGACTTCAACAGGTCTTCCAGGCAAGACTTTTCCTGACTCCTTTTTGTTTATCAGGTTATCTGAACACCCACTAATTCTGGGCTTTCTACCAGTCATCTAACTCCTTTTCAGTTTGCTGCCTTCGCGTCCTGGGGGGAATTAAAGTACGTTTTAAGAAAGAGGTTGCAGAGCACACTAGGAGGTGCTGCTCAATAGCCAACGCAAAATACTCGCTGGTATCAGACTTAGGAGGAGACAAACTATGGATTTAAACCCCCTTTATCTGCCCTGCTTTTCCTTTTGCTCTCGACAGCCCCCCACACTTCTCTCCTTGCCAGGAGAGGGCTAGAAACGCCACGGCGTGGGCCAGTGGGGACGTGGAGCTGGTTTGGCCTCACCGCCCTCTCCTCATCTCTGCCAAATGCAGCACGAAAACATCTTAGGATTTCTTAAAGCACCGTGTGAAAACAAGCGGTGATAAGATCACTTTAGTATGATTCACTATAAATAGGACACTAATTATCCATTATGATAAGGGGAAATAAAAAAAAAAATATGCCATGTGTTGTGTTGTTTATGTGGTAGGAAGAGGTAGATTTATGCTTCTTATTCTGACGTGGATCACGAAAAAAGTCTTTCCCGGCCAGGTATGCATAAATTAAGAGATTTATCTCTCAAAAATCTTGGCAAGGCCACGTCGCATGTGAGTTGTAAATAAGCGAGTGGATGAAGCACAGGGGATGTGTAATACCTCGGAAGGAAGGGCCGAGGTAGAGGATCTGAGCCCTGAAAATGCTAATCACTATTTGTGTATCGCTGCCGGGCCCGAGACATGCCGAGCAGCAAGAGTCACTGGAAAGGAAGGGGAGCAGTCGCTGTTATTTATACCGAGCCAAACACAATGGTATTTGGACACGCTTCCTACGTTAATGAACTCAAACTATTTCCAAGTCTGCGGAGCAAATCCTTTGCAAGAGCCTGCAGTAGAAAAACAAAACAGAACAAAACAATCCAAACGAAGTCCCACCAGCTCTGTAGCACGCCCAACTATCGTCTCGGGTAAAGAGCTGAACACCCTGCAAGCCTAAAAGCAACTGGTTTGGGGGGGGGTTATGGGGGTTGCTGCTGAAATACTTTTTGCATGTGCCCATATAATGCCCCAAATTTTTGTTTATTGAATGTTTTTGCTGCTCCATCTTCTCCTAGAGATGTAGGGAATACAGCAAATAGCTTTCCACTCACGTCTGAAGGGGATTACGGGCTAGGGAAGGAAGCGTGCGTCCCACATGCTGCTCATTTTCCACTCTGCAGAAACATCATTTGGGGGTTTGTTGGGGTTGGGTTTTTTTTTGCAGTCAAGGAAAAAAAAAATAAATAAAAAATGAGACATTTGGCAGCTTCCTACAGTCAGGAAGGGAGAATGGTTATAGCAAATGCTTAATTGCCACTAGCTACTACTTTTAATTTTATTGCCATCTGGTATTTGTGAAACTGCCTGTGAGTTCTGCAGGATGACTCACAGCACGCGGCACCCAGCTTAAAGGAAAACCCTTCGAAGGCTCGGCTGCCTTTCAGAGCCACTTAAGGTAAGCCATGGGCCAAAAAAAGCCATCAGAGAGGTGGTTTTGTTCGGAAGAACCCCCCCTGTTAAAGCTAAAGATGAATCCGCAGAGAAGCCGAGACGTGGATCTGAGCACCTTGGAGGGGAGGGGGTGTTGAAATCCAGTCGCAGCTCACACACAGCTCTGCTCAGACACAGCCAGGATTTGATTCCCGAAGGCTCAGGCACACCCTGGTCAGAAGTTTTCATAAAAATAGCACTAAAGAGCGACGCAGGCCTGGAACATTCCTTGTAGGTTGGCAATGAGAGTCCTCCTCGTTCATTTTATTTGCATATTAGTAGTTGGAAATTGTGCAAACTCTCTGTAATGCTCAGCTTCTGGGAGGGATACCCATCCACCCCGTCCCAAGCGCGAAGGTGAGAGCAGCGGGGAGAGAAAAAAGGAGCTTTGCAATAAAAATGTCATCAAGCCAACCAAGATGAAACCCCCTATTTCGTTTCCAGGTTTGAAAACGGCGCCGTCTTGCATCGATGTGTTTAAGGGACGTTTAGATGAGGTACTGAGGGATATGGTGTAGGGGAAGACTTTGTAGAGTAGGGTAGATGGTTGGACTCGATGATCCCAAGGGTCTCTTCCAACCTCTATGATTCTATGATTCTATGATGTGGCAAGAAGTCAGGTTTCTCTCATCTCTAACTTATAACAATTTAGCAAAGAAGTCGCTGTCGTTAGTGCAAGTTCGATCCATCAACTGATGGGACTCCCTCATGTCCAGGATGCGAGGCAAGGCCTGTGTTTTATAATACTTGACAGAAAAAAACCCAAACCTATCATTTTCATAACATTAAAGACAACTACCTTTTGCATGTAATTGTTGCCTTGTGCTCTGAAGGCAGCCCGGGAATGAAAACTCCCTAGTCATTGAGTGTAAATAGGCAGCGACGGAGCAAAGAGGGCCTAAATTAAGGATGAATCAGGTTCCTAAAGTCTATTTTAATAAATTAAAGATGCTAAGAACGTCCAGACTGAATATTTTAAGGTGCTACGTCACTAAACTCCTGTACCAAATTTAAAGACTATGGAGGTAATACAGGAAGCCACCTGAAAGACAAACCAATCAGACTTTAGTGGGAAAGAGTAGGAGGGAAAGAGAAGCTTTCTGCAGCTTGGCTGAAACCTTTGGAACGATCAAGAGTAAAAGGCCCCACGATTTAACCACCAGACCATTCCCTTTTACTGGAAATACAGTTTTTAGACACCGTGTCAGCGCTCTTAATAGCGGTCATTGTTAATCGTAGCAAGATCAGACAAGGAACATCAATTTCTGTTTATCAGCCTGAGCTGGGCTGGGCTACCAGCACCTGCGTCTCCGTGTTATCTCTCTCCTAACAGAGAAAAACCTCAAGCAGAATTAAACAACTAAGCCAGAGAAGAAGTGTACTTGTCTACTCCTTTTGTTAATACAAGCAACATTTTTGTAGCCCGTAGATTATAATTCCTGTATTACAGAACCTTTGCGGGTTCAACAGGCCCGGAATGCCAGACTCAGAGGAAAACATTTGTAATTCCTGCACGCACAGACAATGCCCAAACCTTTCTGTTTCCTCCACATTCCCCAAACCAGACAGGCGCAGCTGCTCCAACGCAACCCAACTCCAGAACCCTGCTTTGGTTCGCAGCATCTCACAGGGCAGTAAACAAAAAGCCAGAGGAATGACACCAAATTTGATTACTAAATCAAATGCGTTTTGCTCCCCGGGATGGGATTGACCAAAGCGTTAGGTTTAAGGGGAAAAAAAAAAATCCATCCCCTGTGACCTGAGCGCCCAGGGACAGGGGCTCTCCCAGAAGTGATGATGGAAACCTCTCAGCTCGGCTCACCGAAATGTTTAACCGCCCGCCAAGGGATTGCACTCGCCCGTTTTGAGAGAGTTTATCATCCCAGAGAGTAGTGGGAAGGGCTGGGAAGGAACAGCATCTCCCTGAAAGACCCAGAGGTGGCGGGAACCGGCTCAGGAGAAGGAATTCAGCCGGAGGAAAGGGGTCGGGGCAGCCATTGCTCTGTGGCCCCAGGAGCTTCTCCCGCTGCTGGTGGGGACCGGCGCTGCCCCCCGGGAAGAGCTCGCTGGTCCCGCGGCAGCGTCTAAGGAAATAAATGAGAATTAAGGGGAGAGGAGCAGGTCCACCCGGGCCGGCCCGGGGTCGGGGTCAAGGCCTGGCCGACACCGGCTGACAGCGCCGCTCCCTGCGAGCCCCCCCCCGCCAGGCCAAGCGTCTCTACGTTTAACGATTTTCACCATTTATCCGCTCAAAACGCGCGCTGAAGCCTCGGGATCCGCTTGAGGCCGGCAGGGACCCCCCCCACCGGCTGCGGCCTTGCAGGGGGACCCCCGCCCGGGCCCCACCGACCCCGCCGGTGCCACGGGCACGCCCGCCAGGA